GAAGGCAGTTGCTTAACCAACTGAGCCACCCAGGAGCCCCATTTTTAACCATTCTTAATGGTTACAATGGTAAACTTTGTTACGGGTGTTTTACCACAATTTAAATTTTTTTTAAATTTTTTTAGAAGTTGAAACCAAAAAAAATACTCTTACTGAAATAAATTAAATTCAGTTCAATACAAAATAATTTGTTAAGAAACAACTCTATATGGGATTAGGCATTTTAAGTAGGTGGAAAACCACTTGGATGGATACCGTACCGGCCCTAAATGTGACTCCATGCAAAACCCAGGTGAGACAGCCCTGCCTCTAAATGCATCTCCCTCACCTGGGTGTGCTCTTCTCTCTGATTCCACAGTTGGGAGCACCTGTTTCCATGTCCTGGTTCCATAATACTGGGAGTTCTTTGACAAGAAGAATGATGTGTCCCCCCACCCTTTTCCTCTGTGCCTGGGGCAGAGCCTGGCAGACTGTGATCACCACAAGGCATCTTTGCAAGTGTCTTCATTCAGTCCTTCAGTCATTCAAATACAAAGAAGATTCACAAACACCCACCAAGAAAAGTAGAGTGAAGGTCAATAGAATACAAACAAAATGCTAAGAAGGCTTCAGAGGGAAAATCAACATAACATTGGGTCAAAATAGACTATGTAAATTAAAAAATAAAGAACATGTCAATTATATAAATTTTTTAAAAAAGACACAAAGAACAAATCCCAAGAAAACTAACATATTACAATGACTGGAATTTGATCAGCCAGATTCATTTTAAGGAAAAAAATTGTATCGATGTATTCAACAAGACAGAAATAGTCTTTTATGGAGATATGTATTGATGATCATTATCTAATTATTGAGTTCCCATAGTAAAAGACAGAATAAAATGTTGACATGAACTTTAAGACATGAGTATACAGTCCATGAGGAGCTTAAAGCTAAGTTTAAAGACAAACAAATGGAAATGCAAAAATCAAATATTACGAAATGACGTGGATAATATTGACCCTTCATTTTTTAAACTGAAGGTAAAGCAGTCATATAAGCCTTCTTTAAGAAAGTTAGACCTTTAGTTCCTGGAGGCCACGGTGGATCTCCACAGAGAGGAGGGAAGGCGGGGGGCGGTAGGCAGTGAAAGGCCCCGTTTCTGGCGGGTGAAAAGCTGAGAGCAAAGACACGGAGGAGAATCCCGAGTTACTCAGCTCAGAACAGTACCCAGTAAATTCGTTGTGTTACTCTTATCACCATCGTTTCAAACTCATCAATTTTTATACTTATTCCTTTTCATTACTTTGGCATTTTCCCCTATTTAATAAGCATCTTTTGAGCTTAATATAAATAAATAGAAATGAAGGAAATGAGAGGAATTTCAGAAACTACTATCCTAGTTGACACTGAAAATGTAAATGTAAAGAAAAAAAAATTAGGTCCAAAGATCCTGGAGCAAACTAGACACGGATAGACAACACGGCTCTCTAACTGGGTTCCTTTTTTTTTTTTTTTTAAAGATT